AGAAACAATAGCAAGCAAGAAAAAAACCACTTGTGTCCTTATCTTGGGGTTCATTTCACCTAACATCATCTTATCTGACCTTTTCTGCTTGCCTCAGACATATACTAGTTATTGCAAATAAGGGAAACCATGGGACCTATGTTTCTTTGGGCCTGGCTTACTTCACTTAATATAATTTAATTTATATAGATCTCAGGGCCTTGCCTCTTGACCTATTTGCTTGCTCATGGCTGGTGCTTTACCACTTGTGCCAAGCCTCCAATTGGGCTTTTTGCTGGTTAACTGGAGATGGAGTCTCATAGGCTTTTCTGCCCAGAAGAATGGTTTTACACCAAGAACTCAGATTTCAGCCTCCTGAATAGCTAGGATTACAGCCACCATGACAGAATGTAAGTATATTGTATGTATCTGATCTTTTATATAGTTACTCGGCAGTTTTTTTTTTTCACATAACCTCTTTGAAGGCAAAGGTCACAACATCTTATTAATGCCCCATAATAACAAGCACACAGCCTGGAACATAGTGGAGCTCAAAAATGCCTGTTTGGAATGAAAAGATATTGTGCCTGGGGATTTGCTTTGAAGCACTTCAGTGTGGGATGGGAGACAAAAATGGGGCTCAGATGAAACAAAATTGGCCACGTGTCAATCATTGTGGAAGCTCGTGTTGGGTACATGGAGTTCATTATGCTATTATGCCTACTTTTTTAATTTCCATAATCAAAAGGTTTTTTTAATGTGAGTTTGATTGATTGGGCAACGAGAGGGAACTTCTGGAATAACAATGGTGATGGAAATGAAATACATATGCATCAAGGCCACTTTTGGAGCACAAAAACATTACAAACACAGGGCTTGAAGCTAAGCAGGCATGGAGACAATTTTTTTTTCTAGCTCAGTGACTTCGTACTGTGATTCTCTCCCTCTGAAACACATTTTTTCTTTGTAAATAGAGTATTTGTAAATACAGGTATTAATAACTCAAAAAGCCTGTGTGGAGATTGACAGAACTAAAACTCCACCTTCAGTTAACCTGGCTGCCTGGCACCTGGCAGCCGCCAGTAGTGACCCTATTGTATTCAGTGATGCCCACAGGTGCCAAGCTCCTGCTGGCACTTCCTCATGGTAGCAATCCAACATCCATGCCCTGCCATTGAGGTTCCAGGCCATCATCTTGGGTACCACACAACTACCTGGCAAAGGACTTGGTACAACAGATGCCATGAATTATATTCCTGATACCCAGAAGAGAAAATAGCTAAGACCACAACCAAGAGCAGCACCTGTGGCTCTTGACTTTACTCAACAAGTCACCAAAAAGCCTTAACTCTACATCCCAACCATCAATCAAGAACCACAGCAACAAAGCCCTGTCCTTCCTACAGCGTTTGGAACTTTGACCAAATACTTGTATCACTTGGGGTTAGGAGTGGGAGGGAGACTAAAAAAATACAGTATCTGGGTATTGTTCTCGAAATTTGACTTAATGGACTGCAACATGGCTGACATATTGAGCTTTAAAAATCAAATGTGATCTGTGTGCAGCTTTATTGCCGCTGCTGGAGAAGGAAGAAGAGCCGCTTGTGTGTATGCACTAAGTTGGGAGGAGGGAAGAAAGAGGACAAGGGGAAACAAAGGAAGAGAACAAAAGCCACCGAGTCTCACATGAACCCCATTAAAGCCAGCCCAGTCATGTGGCCTCAAGCTGTGGCTCACACCAGATTAACCCCACCCCACTCCATCAACTTCAAGAGAGTTCCTCTGCGTAATTCCCAGGGCTATGGCAGGTTATTAACACCAGGATGCAGATGTGTCAATATTCTAAGCAATATTGAAACAATGTCCCTCCTCTCTAACTTTGGTCTTGAAAATTGTCCAGCTAAGGGCTCATGGAGGGTGGGGGGCAAAGCAAGCGCTTTCAGCCTCACAGCAATTGGAGCTGCCTGTCCCTGTCACTGAAGCACATGTGAAGTGCTTGCATTGTCTTTGATCAGGAGAAAAGTGCATCCATTTCCATCACTTGAGCTGGGATGGGCAGCTGTGTAGATGTCCACAAGTCTGGGACAGTGGAGGGGGGAGGGGAAAGCCATGGACACATGGTAATACTTAACATGCCACAGAGCAAAGGATACCTGGCTGGGCAACCTCTGTGGAGTTTCAGGGCACTCTCATTTAGCAAGTCCACCTGGACTAATCTGGATGTTTCGTTCCCTCAGCAAACACCACCTGGCTAGCCCAGCCTCCACAAAACAAAAGCTGGGCGGCAGCTGTCCATCACAAGGCAGCAGCACGTCAGAATCAGGAGGGCAAGGGTCAACCATTCTCATAAGCACCACACCCAGGACCATACAAGCCTAGAGAAGCAGGAAAACCAGCTGCCTTCCACTCTCCCCTCCTCTCCATCACCTCCCCTCCCCCCACACCAGCCCCCAAACTCATCTGAGAAAGGTTTAATTTCCTTTCCCCAGACAGGGATAACTGAAGGATGCTTGCAATGCTGTTTCAAATAGATACCTCTCTCTCCCTCTCTCCTTCTCTTCCTCCCTCCTGTCTCTTCCTCTTTCTTTCTCTCCCCCCCCCCATCTCCTTCTCCCACCCCTCTTTCCCAGCCTCTGTCCTTACTGGGTTTTTAATCCAATGCTTCATGTTTACTAGGTGGACATTCTACCACTTGGGCCTTTTTTCTTACTTTTCAGATAGGACCTTTCGCTTTTGCCTAGGATGGGCCTCAGACCCCAATCCCTCTACCTATGGCCTCCTGAGTAGTTTGGATAATAGGTATATACCACCATGTTTGCCTTCTTGCTTGAGATGGTTGGGGGAGGGGGCTGTCCTTCTTGTTAACTTTTTGCCCTGGCTGTCCTGGCTGGCCTCAAACAACAATCCTCCTGATCTCCACTTCCTAAGTAGCTGGGATTCCAGATATGAGCCACGATACCCAGCCAACCTGCATTTTTATTGGAATAAATGATTTGTTTTTAAATTGATCAGCTTGGAAAGTTCCCACAAAAGGTTTTGGGGGTTATTTTGTTATTCTATTAAGCGGCATCATCCATAAAATTTTTAGGAAAATCTGAATAGCAGAATCATCATGGAGATGGCAATCTTGATGATGATAATGACAAACACTTGTAGGGAGTTCCTGTGTTCCAAGTGTTTTACACATGCTAACGCATCCATTCCTCCCCACAACCCTATGAAAGAAGTTACAGTAATCATAGCAAGGGGAATAACAATAGCAATACACAATATGTAAAGTCATAAGGGCAATTCATCATGTAAATGACAATGTAAATGATAGTACTTAACATATGTATAACATATAGTAGTAATGGAGATAATTAGCTGCATTTTTTCAGATAATGAAACTGTGACACTCCCTTTCTCCCCCCCCCCCCGCACTCCCCCCCCACATACAAAGCATGAGGTGGTGGGGTGGGCATCATTCCCAGGACATCTGGCTTCAGCAACAGAGCGCTAGCCACAGCCTCGTACTACCAGCGCCCACCTCAGAGCCTCCTCTGAAGCTGCCAGTCCAGAGAACAGCAGAGCATAGTTCTCTGAAGGACTCTGGGCTTGAACCCAGCTCTCCATTCCCCTCCTAGTGCTGGTTGTACCAGCCATAAATGGGGATAATGACCCTACCTGCAGGCTTGTGGTGAGCTTTAAACAAGAAATTGATCAAAGCCCTTGGCCCAAAGTCAGTGGCCAAGGCCAGTTTATCCCAGTGCTTGAGCCTGGCTGTACACTGGAATCCACAGGGACACTTTTAGAGGGCTTATGTCCAGTTCCCATTGCCCTTGGACAATTCTGCCTGAACAAGGAGTCAGTATGAAATCAATAATCTCCTATTTAAAGCCAGCCCAGGAATGAAGCCTGAAGCCCCTCACACTAAAGACAAGGCCCACCCTTTACCTCACTGACCCAGAATTACAGGGATGATTTAATACCACTGAATTCATCCTGTTCAATGACCTTTCCCATTCCCATCAAGACAGCACTTCATGCAGCAGGCACGTGGCCCAAGTCTCACAGAAGCCCCTTCCCCCTCCCAGCCACAAGACCCTGTGTAGGAGGAAGCATCTTGGAAGTGCTTCCACAATCAGCATCAACAACGTGCCCCAACCTCAACATGGTCAGCATTATTTCTACACAAAACACTACAGAGAAGACCCTGTAGGATGAGGGGTGGGAGGGCCTGAAAAGAGACGTTAGAAGGTAAGTATAACCAGGCCCCAGTGGCTCACGCCTGTAATCCAAGCTACTCAGGAGGCTGTCATTTGAGGTTTACTGTTCCAAGGCAGCCCCGGTGGGAAAAGTCCATGAGACTCTTATCTCCAGTTAATCACCAAAAAGCTGAAAGTTGAGCTGTGGGCTCAAGTGGTAGAGTGCTAGCCTTGAACACAAAAGCTCAGAGACAGTGTCTAGGCCCTGAGTTCAAGTCTCAGAACCAGCACACACACACACACACACACACACACCACAATAAAATTGAAATTAAAAATCCAAGTGTTCACACACTCATGTGTGTATGCAAAGAACATTCTAGGAGCCATGTCATGCTTCGTGCCCATAGAGGGCTCTAGTGTGTTCATGGACAGGGGTAGCAAGCAGCAGTGTGCTCAGAGGTGGCAGTGAAGGGAATACTGGGGTTGCCCATGGAAACTGGCAGGGCAAAGAAAACATAATCAGCTCATATTTGACAGAAGAGAAAAACTCAGGTCTGGCCCTTGGAAGAGACTGCCAGCAGCAAGGACGGGGACCATCGCAATGCCAGTTTCCTGGCTCCAACTTCCTTGCGTCTGTCAGGGCCCACTGCCAGTTGGCAAGGGGTAGTACGGAGGGCCAGGAGGGGGAAGGCAGTGAGGGGGGGACTGGAAGAGCCACTCGTTCAGCTGCTTCCCAGGAAGTGAAGGTCCCTAGTGGGCCTTGCACTCTCAGAGTGAGTCTCCTCTGCCTCAGGCCAGCCCCAGTCCCCAGAGAACTGGCCAAAGCCTTACCTGGGTGAAGGAGCCATCCTCACCACACTCCGGGACAAACACAGCCTCCTGAGGCTTCTTGGCCTGCTCCAGGGCTTGAGCCCGCTCCAGGCGACACTTGCTCTGGCCAGCATCTAAAAGGGGAGAGGAGCGTATTTCTTGTTTCACTTGGAATCCACGCTGGACACCATGGCCCCAAATGGCTGCCCGGTGGCAGGAATGCAAAAACCCCTGCCCCGATGTGAAGTGTCCACACACAACCACGGTTTCTCGTGATAAGATGATAGCAGGCTAGCCACATCTTCCTCTTAACTTGATGTTTAGAAAACGCAGTGGGGGAGAGGGGCAGTGGAAACCAGGTTGCCCATATTTTTCTCCCAAATATTCCTACACTCACTGGGGGGGGGGGCAGAAAAAATGTTCCCCTCCCATTATTTTTCCCAGATTTATTCTAAAACATGTAAGCCAACGGGACCTAAAAGATACTTTATAGTGAAAGAATTGCCAGCACATTCTTTAGAAAAACCAATATTTCTGAGGCACTCTGCTTAACCTTTTATCATTCCTCTCAGAAATCTCGGGTCTCAAACATAACTATCCACAGGAACCAGGAAAGTGATATAAATTGGCCTGAGAAGAGATGCCATCAGTTCTGAGAGCCCGTAGGACGCTCTGATGACTATGGCAAATTGGAGAATAGGATCCCCTGTGGTGTGCCATTTGCAGAAGCACAGACTTAATATTCCTAATAACTTTCAATTTGGGAAGAGATACACACACAAAAAAAAAACCTAGATTTTTTTTTACATTGAATTCTTCCATTTTTAAATCCTTCCATTTTTAAGATGCTGTCTCAAATGTTTTTATGTTTTAGAGCAGCTCAAACAAAGCACATCTGTTGGCCAACATTTTGGAATCCCTATTCAGAGCTACCAATAATGCTTTTAGCTCTATTTTAAAACAAGCCAAAGGCAAACAAGAAAGCAGCCAGAGAACAGCACATTTAAGTCCTAGGCTGTTGGCAGTGTCTAAAGGATGAGAAAATGGTTGTCCTGTCTTCCTTTACTTCCTGATGGAAAGGGCCAAAGAGAAATCACAGCAAACCAAATGACCAGATACATCCACATGCACACAGCTCAGTATACGAGCTGAGTCCTAGTGTGCTCCTATGGGCTAACACTGTGTACATGCACTCACCTTTGCATCTGCCGCGATGGACCACACCCAGGGTCGGGTCTCTGCACTTGGCTCGCTGGTACTCACACATCGACTCGTAGGACCTGCCATCGGAGGCACAGATGGGTTTAGGTTGGGTCCTGGAGCAGTGGAGGTTGCACTGAGGGTCCCGGTCACTTATTAGAAACTAGATTTAAAAAAAAACATTAAAGGGCACAGAGGTTACTTTTGCAAGAAAAGTGGTGGGAAGGCCATGACTTACAGTACTAACTTGCCCCTGGAAAGCAAATTTCAAAGAAATGCAAAGTCAGAAAACTCTAGAGGTAAGCCAGGGGCTGGTGGCTCACACTTATAATCCTAGCTAATCAGGAGGCTGAGATCTGAGGATTATAGTTCAAAGCCAGTCTGGGAAGAAAAGTCCATGAGACTCTCATCTCCAATTAACCACCAGGAAACTAGAAGTAGCTCTGTGGCTCTAAGTGGTAGAATGCTAGCCTTGAGCAAAAGAGCTCAGGGCCAGCGCCCAGGCCCCAAGTTCAAGCCCCATGACTGATTCAAAAAAAAAAGGAAGTGAAAGGAACTGAACAACACAAAGTCTAACAGAGAGGTGTTTACTCTTCATGAGGAAGTCCTATGCAAAGAAACCATATAAAGTACCACACTGGTCACCACATCCATCCAGTACAATAGAAATGCTTTCTGTACAATAGAAACTCTCTGTCAATAAGGAAACTAAAGACTAGAGAGAGATAACTAGTCCAATGTCATGTAGTTCTGAAGAATAGAAGAATTTGAACCTAAATCTGTTGAAAATAAGGTTAAAGCTCTAATCTCTAGGACATTCATGCTCCCTATCCACAAGGATGTCTACTTGTACTTCTTCAAATCAACCATCCACTATCTAGATCCAAATTCCTTCTTTGGACTCATTTTTCTTTATTAGACAATAGAATCGAGCCCCACATCCATCATCCTCCCATTCTGCTGACTGCCCTCTGGCAGAATGTGAGTTATTTTCTGTGAGAAAGGTATTTCCTGATTTTAAAAACAGCAATAAGAATCAGCTTGAGAAAGGCCAAGCTAAACATACTTCTTCGGTACAGGAATTCTCAGGCACCTTTGATTCACTCTTAGGAACTATGACTCTCCAAGAGGTACAGTGAATTGACCAAACCTGCAAATGATTTGCTACTTCTCCCTTTGTGTTAGTGTCAAACCTTGATTCAGACTTACCTGACTAGGAAAATGCTGTAGAAGTGAAGTGCTATTTGAGGACTTCTGTGCTAGGCTATGCAGAAGTCTGCAGCTTCTTGCTAAGCCTGTTCCAGTTCCCACTATGGGGGAAATGGCTGCCAGTAAGAAACCAAACGACCTTGAGATACCACACTGTAAGAAGTCCAAGTCAGCACGTGTCCAAACCACATGGAGAAAGAAACATGCTATCAACCCAAGTCCACCTGGCACCTGACTGCAACCAACAGACATGAAAATAAGTAAAATAAGTAACTGTACAAGACACTCCCAGAAGAACCATCCAGCTGAGCCCAGGCAACCACAGACTTGTGAGCAGTAATAATATTCCACTGTGTTTTTTTTTTTTTTTTTTTGGTCCAGTCGTGGGGCCTGAACTCTGGGCCTGGGTGCTGTCCCTCAGCTCTTCAGCTCAAGGCTAGCGCTCTACCACTTGAGCCACAGCACCACTTCCGGCTTTTTTTTTTCTTTTTGCTTATGTGGTACTAGGGAATCGAACCCAGGGCCTCATGCATGCAAGGCAAGCACTCTACCACTGAGCCACCTTCCCACTCCACTGTGTTGAGCTATTACCTTTTATGATCATTCGTCACAAAGCCATCAATAACCAGACCAAGTAGCATATACAATTATGCATCTTCCAAATCTAATTTAACCGCAAGCCTGTTTGTTAGTGAATCTCTGTTGACAACTACAGGACACAGCCAGAAAACAGTAATTGGACCAGTATAATCCAGAAGTTTGGATATGAAGTGACACCTCCCCACACACCCTGCACCAAAAGATTGATGTATTTAAGGCTTGGTACTATTTGGGGAGGTTCTAGAAACCTTAGAAGGTGGAGCCCACCTGGAAGAAGCTGGTGGCATGTCCTAAGGAACTATATATTGTTCCAAGCCTTACTTTTCTCTCTCTCCCTCTCCACCTCCCCCTCCACTCTCCTTCTTTCCTCCTTCCCTCTCTGTTCTTGCCCCCTCCCATCTGTTTCCTGTCTTCCATGAGATAGAAAACCTCTTCCATGCACACTTACCTCAGATCCAAAGCAATGGAGCTAGCCAATTATTGACTAAAACATTTGAAACTGTGAGCCAGAATAAATCCTTGCCCTTTTTAAGTTGTTTTGTCAGGTATTTTTGTCACAGCAACCAAATGCCTAACCCACAAGGCAACTGTCTGGGTCTGGAGACCAGGGTCTACTGTCCACCTCACTCAGCAGAGCCCTGAGCACACTGGACTCTCTCAGTGGGGCTGGAAGGAGCAACACCTGCCAATGTCACAGGCACACCTGGGGTTGCTGGCAATGCTGACGTTGACTCTATAATCATGCCAAGCCTCAGTGGGCTTGATGTGCCTGGCGGACAGGGCTGTCTTCTCTGGAGGTCATATTTGGTGTCTGCTCCCACAGTAGACTCTTGGTGAACAGCTTCTGATTCATGTTTTTCAGCTTGGTCAATGTCTTTGCTGGTGGTATCAGTTTACAGCAACTAAGCGTAGTGCAGCTTGGTCCTAGAAGCCTGGGCATCAGGCCGAGCCATGGGGACAGATCCCAGCACGCACACATGCACATTGTTTAATGTTGGGGAAGTTTCATGAGAAAACTAATTTTCTCATGAAGACGCTACTCATCCTGCTTCTTTTATAAAATTAGTCAACATCAACCCAGGTGCCAGTGGCTCACGCCTGTAAACCTAGCTATCCTAGAATGAGATATGAGGATCATAGTTCAAAGCCAGCCCAGGGCAGAAAAGTCCACAAGAGTTTGTCTCCAAATTAACAACAACAAAAAGCCAACTAGAGAGATGGCTCAAATGATAGAGCACCAGCCTAGTAAGCAAGCCAACCTTGCCCAAAGTTCAAACCTAAGTAATAGCAATCATCATCATCAACAACAACAACAACAACAATAATAACAAAGTTAATACAAGTCTTATAGAAAGTTCTTGCCATGTCTTTTTTAACCTAACTGGCTTTAAGAGAGAGAGAGAGAGAGAGAGAGAGAACAAAAGATGGATAGAGAAAGACAACATTGCTTTTCAAACCTGCAGAGGTTGCCTTGTCTGCTCTGCTGCCCCTGGAAGAGGAGAGCCACAGGTATCACCGTGGCATTGAACCACAGGACAAAAATCCAGTTGGAAAGTGGCTTGCTCTTTACCACAAAGACTCATGGTAGCTATGCCAGAGACCAGCTTAATAACAAGGAGAACACCCTGTCTAAAACCAGACAGGTTAAAGAGCCTCCATTCCCCACCTATCCCAACCCACGGAGATGGTCCTCATCTTCAGAGGAACTCTCAAAAGATTCAGTTTGGAAATTACTGGCCCTTGAGGCCCTGTAAAATGTTCGGAGACAGCACAGGGCCATCGCTAAAGACGATCTTGAATCGCCTATGCTGCCTCATTTTCATCTGCTTGGGAACTGTGTGTATTTGTGACTGCTTTTAAAAAAACAAGCCAAGCTCTATAAAATGGAGCTTTAATAGAGTGACTTCACAGAAGACATTACTCTGGGTCCACACAAACATGGAGGATGAGGCAAATCTCCAGTCTGCTTGTCCATCTGCATAGCTACTCTGTAGTAGGAGCCCCAATCTGCTGGGACCCCAGACAACACAACCAGCAGGGCACCTGCCCACCAAAAGTTTCCACCCTAGGGTGCAATACAGATTAAGAAGTTCCACACAGTGTGATAGAAGGACATGATCCTAGGAAATCTACAGTGCTATAAAGCCACTTTTCCAGGATGTTTGTGCTGATACAGTAGCCATAAGCTCTGGGTGGATATTAAGCACTGAAATATAGCAAATACAACCAAGGACCAAATATGTAGCTTGCATTTGATTTTAGTTAATTTTAAGAGACCACATGTGGATAGTGGCTGCCATATGTAATAATCTAGCTATAAAATTAACAGACCAAGACCTGAAGGAGAGGGTGGTCTTCAACTGAGATTCTGTTGTTCGTTTGGTTGTTGTTTGGTTTTGTGTGTGCATGTTTTTGTGTGTGCATGTGTGCTGGTGCTGGGTCTTGAGTTCAGAGCCTCCACACTCTAGGTCAGTCAAGGCTGGTGCTCTACCACTTGAGCTATACCTCTATTTTTAACTTTTTGCTGTTTAATTAAAGATAAGAGGCTCATTGACTTTTCTGTCTGGGCTGACTTCTAATGGGATTGCAATACTCAGATCTCAACATTCTGAGCAGCTAGGATTACAGGTGTGAGCCACCAGTGCCTGTCTTTATTTATTTTTTTGAGATAAGGCCTTGCTATGTAGCCCAGGCTGGCCTGAAACTCACAATTTTCCTACCTCAAGCTTCCTAGGACTACATGTATAGGCCACCACACCCTGCCTCAACAGAGTTTTTCCTAGTTGAGCCAGACTAAGACTGATTCGATGAAGGAAAAAAAGAAACAGACTCTGGAAGTCATTTCTGCCTTTTGAAACTAGACAGTAAATTAGGCCATTACTTATGGGCCAACAGCCAGAATATCTCAGGCGTTTGTCACAGTCCAAATGAAGTTACAAAGGTAGTTTTATCCTCCTCTTTTACAGGGTACAGGAGCCACAGGCTAGAAGTAATCAACATCAGCCTGTGGCGACGATAAGAATCCTTAGCACAGATAAAACCCAAAAGAATGGGAGTTATGCTAGTAGGATATGAACAGAAGTCACATAAATACTTGCCATGGGTTCAAGTACAACCGTAATTGGTGGAGATTCTTGAAGATGGGCAGAGGCAAGCAGTCTCCCCAACAAGGCAAACACTGGGCACTGGGCCATTTCCCTCTAGAAGGGAAATTGTATTTTTTATAACCATCTCCACATAGATTTCCCTTCCTTCTCCCTAACCAGAAGACAATGAAAGCAAAATAATAACGTTAAATACAATTGCATAATACGGAAACCAAACAAAAGGGACCAGGACAATTGAACATCTGAG